TTATAGAGATTTATAATTTTGGAGTTTATCATAACTTCTTCACGCGAAGTTAGATTTAGACGTTCTCTAAATTTTTGTAATCGTATAGACATATACTTTGAATTGTATCATAAAATATGTATGATAGTTCATACTTGTATTATAATATATCATGAACTACATATTAAGTTTATCACATTACTAGTTTAACAAAATCACATTACTTGATTGACATAATCACATGTGATTGCTATTGACCTATTTTGACCAGTGTTACACTATACAAGAAATCCATGGCAGGTCCATACCTTAGAGGTAAAATGATCATTTTCATTATTGAACACAGTAATTCAAAAGTTACAACCAAACATCTTGTTAACAATTTAGATCTTAAAAATCTAAACTCTTTTAGAATTTCAGATCTTAAAAATTCAGATCTTATCAAACACGTTTTTATTCTACGAGTATTAATTGATAATCCGATTACACTCATAACTCATGACTCATCACTCATTAACCCAAACCTAGTCTCGATTACACTCATAACTCATGACTCATCACTCATTAACCCAAACCTAGTCTTTTCTTATTTATTTATCTAAATCTAATTTAATTAATTAATGACCCGTTAACCCGTTTACACTCATGACTCATCACTCACGAACCCAAACTTACTCTTTAATTTATGACAAAAAAAAAAAAAAAAAAAAAAAAGTTAACACGTTGTAGTTGAAAAATAATATTTTAAATAAATATCCACCACAAGTACCAACCTTTAATGGTAGACCCCACCACGTAATACACGTCTAGCTTCTCTTCATAAAATTTATCACCCAATTGTTATGTTGAGCGTAAGCATACGGATATAATCCTCATGATTTGACTTTGAAAACAGGTTTCATACACGTTTCAATTTTTAATTGGAACTAGAAAAGGACAGCGACTCAAGTTTTTGGACTTTGTCATAAAAATTAAAAATCGGCAAACTTTTGAAGATGCGTTGAAAGTGTAAATCGCCATAAATATGAGAGAAAGTCAATAACCCTATAATTAGATGTCAAAAATGTATAACCAAAAGAAAAAACATTGATGGAGAAAGACCAAAAATATTGTGGCTATAGTGTGAAAGTTGTCAAAGTTGGAAAAATATAATAGCAAAAGTCTAAAGAAGGTTTTTTTATTATTATTATTATTTTTTTTATGTCAACATAAACAGGTTTTGACTGCAAGGTTGAAAAGTGTCAAAATAATTAAAAATTTGTGGCAAAAACATCAAAATATAAAAATTTTAATTGCAAGGATGAAAAGTATCAATGTCACTAAGGATTTGTGGCAAAAACCTAAAGGCCCAAAAACTTAATCAAAACTTAAAAAATATAAAAGTTTTCGCTTCAAGGACGAAAAATATTAAATTCACCAAACATTTGTGGCAAAAAACTGAAACCATAAAATTTACTATTCCTAAGGTCCTTGTGATTTAATATATAGTAGGGAAGAATCACATTTTACAGGTGTTGGAAGGTATTTTATAATCTTTTATAAAAAAAAAAAGAAATAACAACAAAGCTTTGCATATACTAACTCTAATTTTTCTCATGTTGCTTTAAGAAACTATAATGTCAAATGTCGATAATTTTACAAAGAATCAGATTACAATGTTCTATACACTATACATGATGTTTCTAAAAATACAATGGTATATGTTGGAAGATTTCCACAAAAAAAAAAAAGTAAAAAACAAAAAAAAAAAATTAAAAACTGAATACGTACTCTTTCCATTGTCAAGTTGCATATACCATTTTTTTTTTGTTTCTTTTAATTTGTTTTCATCTCCTTCCCTTTTCTGCTTGCAAATTCTTTACCAATCCATCATTCTCATTTATCACTTCCTACATCATATCATATCATAATAATACATTTGAATAACATGATTTTAAAGATGTTCAAATTACTTAGAAACATAAATTCAAGAATCAAACCTCATGATCATAATCTAGTTTAACAAAATGCCATTCTGGGTTTTTAAGCTCGCTACTTTCACCCATCCTAAAACTTGTATTCGTACATTAGATGTGGATCAATTGTGTAAAGTGTAAAAATGAAGAAAACCAACAAAATGAAGAGTATGTATATTAAGAACACATGTAGTTACAGGAAAAAAATGTTATTATTATATAATAGGAGAATAGACCAATTAAATTATTTGGTGAATACATAAATATTATATACATATTGATGTAATCAAATAGATCATCCAAACCCAAGTTTAACGATTTTTTCAAGCCAACCACTTTGATTGGCAGTTAAAGTGGTGTGGTCACAATCAGTGTTGTAAAATTCGTTGAGTCGGCCAATTACTCATTCGAGTACTCGCTACTCGGCCCCTTACCGATGCGAGTTACAGAATCCGAGTACTCCCTTATCAGCCCTTTTACTGAACTGAGTAGTGTTGTAAAACATGATAAACTCGGTGATTAATATGTATAATATACTTATAAATGTCTCATAATTGTTCATACAAATTGTCTTATTCCTAAAAGAAATTTATAAATACATCATTGCTAATACCATATCACTATAATATTGATACATAGACAAATTATATAAACAAAATGAAACCAAGAAAATGGAAGTTGTAATTGTATATTATACCAAATACAATAAACAATATATGTCTAACATACATCACAAAAGTAAATGTAGTGATAGGTATGTTTTAGTTTTAAGATGTAGAAAATTGTTGTATAGTTTCTAGTTTGCAGACTTTGACTTTTAATACTGAGAGTATCCGATAAATTGCTTCTATATCACAACAAAGAGAAATTTAACAAGTCCTAAAAAGAGAAAAAAAGAGCTTTACCTAGAAAAAAATCAAATACAGAAGTACGGAGACGACAAAAACTAGACGTCCATAATTTTTACAACAAGAACGGTTCAAGACAGATTGCGATCACCGGAGATGTGAGACGGACATAGCTTGATCTTCGGCGATAATAGATAATCGTCGGTAGCTGACAACAATTTGAAGTTGAGAAGTCGAAAGGTTTGTCAGTCGGTCCAAAAAAATCGAATGTTTTTTAGATGAGATTTTGTGGTGGAGTAGATGAGGCGGTGGAGAAAGGTTTAGGATTTGCAGAAAAACGGTGGGAAGCTCAAGTGGTTTCGTATACTTACAAGGAATGAAGCGGTGGAGAACACTAATCCCATTTTTATTGGTTATAAGAGCGGTGAAATCACATTCGGTGACACATGTAAATAAACACACCTGTACGGGAAGAAATAAAACCAACAGGGTATTCTTGGAGAAAAGAAATAATAAAAAAAATTATGGAAGTGGTCCAATAAGAAACAACTACTGTTCCTTAAGGGGGTTTCGAATTACTATATTATATAATATATAATATTAGATTGTTTTCTTTGACAAAAATCAAACAAAACCTTTTTTTATAGTTTAAGTATACAAAAGCGCTCAGCATCGCAACTTGTTTTCCGTTTGTTATCTCACTCGTTGTACGATAATAATCAAATTAAATTTTTTTTAATTAGTAAAAGAAAATTAACCGTTTATTACTGCCCATACAACCAAATAGGTAGGATGGCGGTAATATCTGCCAAATTGGTTTTATATTTAAACCCATAACATTTTTAATTGATAACTTTAGCGTTGTCTGCATATTTTAGTATAATTCGAGACATGTCAAGTTCAGTTTATCATCCGAGACGGAAGGTGTACAGTGTATACTTAGAGTGTTAAATGTGAACTCGGATATACGAGGTCCGGAAGCAGCACCCCAAGGTATAAGGTTTCAAGGCCCCTTGTGGGGTCCATGGGATAGATCCCTTAAATGGATTTCTTTATAAGAAAATAGTCGAGCCATGTATTTTCCCCTTTCAAAAACCTATTGATGACATAATGATGATGTAATCATAAGTTGTGTCCCCTTTTCAAAAACCTATTGATGACATTATGATGATGTAATCATAAGTTGTGTCCAAAAACTGTCCCTTTTTGAGCTAATTTGGTGCAATTAACATTTAACCATTTTTACTTCTTTTTATAAATGTAAGGTAAATATTCCACGAAAAGGATTGATCTTTTATAGATATGAAATTTATATTTTGTTATTCTCTGTCTCTCAAAAATACAAAACATCAAGGTATTTTGTGTTTTATGGTTTAGATTAGGCCTGCGATCCAAGTTATATTTCTTGGTATGCATTTTATATTTAACTATGACAATATTTTTCGTAATTAATGTTTCTTATATATGCCTTTAGGATACATATTAGAAAATCCCTTGTTTTAAATTCTTATTTCTAACAATGATACAATCATTGATCAAAATAATATCAAAATATTATTGTTATTTTGAAAAAAAAAATGAAGGAATAAAAGTAAAAAGAAAAAAAATGGAGGAATAAAAGTGTTGGCAACACCCATGTTAAACCGTATATTTACAAGGTTTTAATATTTTAAACACAAACCAACTAGCACCATAGAGTCAAACCTCTTTCAAAACTTTTAATGTTTAAATCCTATCCAATTATCTTTCAACTTTTTTAAAGTTTAAATCCGACGCAATTACATCGTATTTGTATGGTCTAAATATAATACAAAACTAGGTGTGAAACTCATGTATTATATGAATTATTTAAAAAAATAAATATTAAATTTTAACAAATTTAAAAGTTTGAATTTGTAAGAAAAATAAATTTTTTTTTGAATTATTAAAATTAGGATTTATGTTATTTTTTATCACTTAAAGTTAAGTGATCAAAAATAGCTTAAACCCTTAACATTAATTATGCTTTAATGTATTGAATACATTGTATATATACACCATTCTTAATAAATACCTTACATGTATATTGTCTTACATATTAAATATGAAATTTTAATTTAATAAAATAAAAAATACAATAAAATAACAAGTGGAAAATAGAATTCTTTTTAAAATATTATAAAATATCATATAACTAAATGAATAAGAAGAGAATCTTCATTATTAGAATAGATTTGGTGTTAATATAATTTCTTTATATCAAAGAATAGGATTTGGTGTTTACACATATGCACTACATATATAATATGTATGAAGTTATTTCAATGATCAAAATTTTATTTTATTATTTGTTGAAAGGGCAACAGATACATTGCACACACACGGCATTACAAACATCTAAATCTCATCAAGCATCAAATTTAATGAGTAGATCTTTCCAAAACATAATTAAGACCTCGTTGTGATTAAGCAACGCGCTTAGGTGGTAATAGCTTTGATCCAGCCAGGCCTTGACTGGATTTCGGCAGCCCACGCGCTGACATTGGGCCGCGCGTCAAACAGCTTCTTCACCCGCGTTCCCATCAAGTACTTCATGGTAGGGAGGTGGTGGAGATCCACCAAAGTGAAGCAATCTCCGCCCAAATACTTGCTCTCCGACAGCCGTGATTCGTACACGTCAAGCAACCCCTCCATTTTCTTCTCGTACTCTTCCACAATCGCCTCGTCGGTAGTCATCCCAAACATCGGCTTCAAAAGAAGCTCCCACACCAGTTTCGAAGCTATCGGTTCATATTTCTGGGACTCCACTTCCATCCACACTGACAGTTTCGCCATTTTCTTCGGATCCTCGAATATCAGATCGTTACCCTTGTCGGCATACGCGTGTGCTATGTATTGAGTAATCGCCCTTGATTCTGAACCAGATTAATTAGTTCATCAAATTCCAAGGTTAAATTGATCACTTCATTATAACTTACAAGCTACAAACTAAAAAACAAAATCTTAAATCATTTCAAAACAACAGGAATTCCTATCGACAGGAGATCCTTACCGAACAACTTGAGATCACCATCCTCAAACGCTGGAACTTGACCGAATGGCTGCAGAAGTAGAGACAGATATAATACATCAATCCAAATGAAATTAGAACATTAAAGGATATAGATAAATTGGGTTTAACTTACGTTCCGGGTAAGGAATTCAGGTTTCTTGTGTTCATTTTTGGCCATGTCGATGATTATGAACTCGTACTCAATATCCTTCTCAGCGAGGGCAGCTTTGACTCGCTGTGTTGCGGTTGAAATTAGGGATCCATAGAGTTTAATGGCCATGATTTGATTATGGTAAGCAAACTAACAGTAATCTTATCGGTTCAAGAATTTAGGGTTTCTGCAGAATGAAGATGATGGATTCAGATGTGAGCACTAAATTAAGTGGGGAGTGGGGATATATAAATAATAAAAGAAGTCCGTGGGTGGAACAGAGCCGAGCAGATTTTCAAGGTCTTTTTAAATAGAAAATTCTAGAATATCGATTTTCTCTTTCTGAAAAGAAAAGAAAAAAAAAATCAAAGTCGATAGAAAATTCCAGAATATCGATTTCTCTTTCTGAAAAAATAAATAGAAATCGAATACATGTGAATGACATTATGTGCAACGGTAGAATCATAAAACCTTTGTTATAAATAAATCAATATATATAAAACGGACAAAGTACATGCGTTCCGACAACGTGCCACGTGATCTAATTGGTTCTTTATTTCCCATTTTCAACACAACTTAATATGAATAATCATTTTGATGCGTGTGGATTATAACATTAATTAGACGGGTAGGTATGGCAATGCCGCGTTATTCTGACGTGACTATATAATTACAGCGGTATTCACTCCAAGGTTTATATTTTTGATTTTTCAAACGGTCAAAAATATGAAAAAAAAATTAATAGATTTTCAATCTTTTTACAATTATATATATATATATATATATATAGGGTAAACTGAATATACCTAACAACCTTATACAAGCTTAGGTACTTAACCTCATCAAACTACGTTATTTTGCATTAAATTTTCATTGCAATCATCAAAAGTTCTTAAACTTCATACCTAAACTTGATTTACTTCAAAAAAATTTGGAAATTCATCATTACATTTCTCCTACATCCTTTCATTTGTAGCGGTAGGATATGAAGCTCATCAGGTGGTATTCGATAGAAAGACGTGATGTAAAAGAAATATATTCGTGAAAGTCCAAAGATTTTAGAAGTAATCAAGTTATGGGGTTGAAGTTTAAGAACCTTAAGCAATTACACTGTAAATATGATACAAACCGATGTCGTATAATGGAGTTACGTACCTAAGCTTATATAAGGTTTTTAGGTATATTCACTTTACCCATATATATATATATATATATATATATATATATATATATATATATATATATATATATATATATATATATATATATATATATATATATAGGGTTAGGTTCATGTGAGACGACCTAATTTTGTGAGATCGTGAGACGCATTTTTTTTTTTTTTTTTTAAAATTTTTTTAGTTAATTCAAGTTCCGAAAATAATATTTAAAAAAAGAATTTTTTTGAGTTTTCCATTTATTTTGCAGTTTAAAATTATTTTTAGAATATGTACAGTGTAATATTCTATTTAGAATATTTCACGTATTTTTTTAAAAAAATAGGATTTTTTTTATTTTTTTTAGTTAATTCAAGTTCAGAAAATAATATTTAAAAAAAGAACTTTTAGATTTTTCCATTTATTTTGCATTTTAAAATTATTTTTTAGAATATGTCAGTGTAATATTCTATTACAATATTTCACGTATTTAAAAAAAAAAACGGGATATTTTTTTATTTTTTTAAATTTTTTTTAGTTAATTCAAGTTCCAAAAATAATATTTAAAAAAAAAAAAAAGAATTTTTGGATTTTTCCATTTATTTTGCATTTTAAAATTATTTTTAGATTTGGTCTCACGGTCTCACAAAATTAGAATTGTCTCAAATGAACCTGAACCTATATACATATACATCAACCTTTATCTTTTATACAAACATTATTACTTTCAAATCTTCAAAAAAAATCTCTTTTCCCTACTATGGATCAAAACCCAAACACTCATCCAAACAAAAATACACCTCCACCTTTTGCTTTTGCACAATACGAAATGTATGCGAACATTCTCAATACACAAGACAACATTTTCAATTCCGTCTCACCCACACCACACTTCACTACAAACCTTCCATAAAACATTTTCAACCCATTTGCTACAATGCAATAAAATGCCACACAACCACAACCCACCCAACAAACTATACCTGAGTTGCAGGGGGGGGGGGGAGCAGGAAAAAAAAATGGCCCAAAAAGGTAGAGGACGAAGGAAAGGGAAAGCGGTTGCGGTGGAGCAATCGGAAGACGAACCTCTTAGTTGACGGTGGCTTAGTGTGGGACATCAAAAAATCTAACGCAAGGAAACGATATGCGAAGAGTTGCTTTTTGGGAAGCCGTGATCGTGAAATTTCGTGCAATTTTGAATAAAGATGAAAACTACCGCAATCACGACATGTTGAGTAGCAAGTGGACTCAAATAAGCAAGAAGTGCACCAAGTTTAATTCCATCCACAACAAACTTTCCTCGTACAAGCAAAGTGGTGCGATCGATTTTGATGTTTATATAGCAGCGAGGGAGCAATATCATGTCGAGACCGGTCATGTTTTTTAGCACGAAAAAATTAGGAGATTGTGAAGGAAGACCCAAAGTGGAATAAAACGGACACATTTACGGAACAACAATTAAAGAGGTTGCATGGCTCGGGTTCGGTCGATGTTTTGGACGCACGGACGAAAATCGACCTCAATGCGGACACATATGAGATACCAAACGACTTGAACGACCTTGAAGAGATCTTCCCGCCTCGACGACCGATAGACCGCGACAAAGCGATGCATGCTCAATGGCATACGGATGAAGCCGAAAGTAGACGAAGAGAGCAAGCCGAAATGAAACAAAATTTTGACGAGCACAACGAAATCGTGCGTAAAAGATATGAGTTGCAACGAGATCATTTTGAGTTCCTACGTTGTGAAGCCGAGGACGATCGTATTGCGAAAGATTCAAACTAGTTAGGATAATTTGCCATCGAGACGGTTGGAGACACTCCGAAAAATGAAGGCGGAGATTGAGCAGAAATATTTAGACGAATATTAATGTTTTTTTCGTTGTAATAATATATATATATATATATATATATATATATATATATATATATATATATATATATATATATATATATATATATATATATATATATATATAGTTATTTTCTTTTTCGGTCTATGTTTTTTTCGTTGGAATGTCGTTTTATGTTTTTTCGTTGTAATGTAGTTTTTAATTAGTATTTATTTTAATTATGTGTTATTTAATTTATATGTTTTTTTTAAAAATTATTATGATATAAATTAAAAAAAACAAAATAGAAAAATGGGAATTACAAACATAAAAGAAATAAAAATAAATAGAAATGATAGGTGTTATTACATGTTATTTGGTGTTGTTTATTTTCACATTGGGTTATATAACACCAAAAGTATAAGTAGAATGATGAGATGAACTATGAGTATGATAACATGTTGCTCATATCCATTAGCCTTAACAAAATAATTAGAGCATATTATAACAACCATGACTTTGATTTTTTTTTTTTTTTTTTGAGTTTTTTTTATTAAAACAAATATATATTTTTAATAAAACATAATATTGAAATAAAACATACAATTTAAAAATTATAAATAACATAACATTTAAATTATACATAACATCCGATTTTAAAATAAAAACATTACAAGACAAAAAACATACATATTTCTTGTTTTTCTTAAACAAAGTTATTCGTCATCGTTACCGTCGACCATATAATCCATCAAGTTCTTTTGAAGTTGCATGTGTTTATTTGTATTCTGAATGTAAACGATTATGTGTAAATATTTTACTGTTTTTTATTGAAATTGAACGTGTCTGGGTTCCGTTGGGATCAATATCGAATCTAGGAATCAAATTCACATGTGTCTCACTTAAATGAAATGATAAAATAAATAAGTCAAAAGTTTTGATTATCGGGTCGGTTTAATAATAACATCAGTTTAGCCATTTTTTATTAACTTTTAGGTGAATTTAAATGTTAGGTTAGAGATAGATTCGGTCTGATTCAAGTATCAATTTAATTTAAACACTTATAAATGTCTCATAATTGTTCATATAAATTGTGCTATTCCTAAAAAAAATTATAAATACATCATTGCTAATACCACATCACTATAATATTAATACATAAACGGATTATATAAACAAAATGAAACCAGGAAAATAGAAGTTCTAATTGTGTATTATACCAAATACAATAGACAATATATGTTTAACATACGTCACAAAAATCATTGTACTAAAGTAATTGTAGTGATAGGTGTCTTTTAGTTTTAAGATGTAGACAATTATTTTATAGATTCTAGTTTGTAGATTTTGACTTTTAATACCGAGAGTATTCGATAAATTGCTTCTATTTCACAACACCAAGAGAAATTTAACAAGTCCTAAAAAGAGAAAAAAAAAAGAGCTTTATCTGAAAAAAAATCGAATGCAGTAGTACGGAGATGACAAGAACCAGACGCCCATCATTTTTACAACAAGAACGATTCAAGATAGATTGCGATCACCGGAGATGTGAGACGGACATAACTTGATCTTCGGCGATAATAGAGAATCGTCGGCGACCGGCAACAATTCAAAGTTGAGAAGTCGAAAGGTTTGCCGGTCGGTCCATAAAAATCGAATGTTTTTAGGTTTTTAGTTTTTCCATTCACTAATTTTCTAACAAACCGATTAATATGAGTTTCAAATATTATTTGTTATTATATTTTTGAAAATATTTTGTATATTTAACTCCTAAATTGATGCTCTTGCTAGTTTTTATAAGTTGTAAAGAATAATAATAGATTACGAATTTACGATTGACAACTATGAAAGATTAATTTTTTTAGAGAAATTAAATAAACTCTTATTTTTTCTTCCTATCAATCTTCCTACCCATGTAAAATGATGACAACTGTAATATTTTAATAAAATTAATTATATTGTAGGACACTTGTTAGGAAGATATTTAGGAAAAAAAGTAGGAGAATATTTAATTTCTCTTTTTTTTTTTATTGTTCTTTCTTTTGTGTTTCTCATTCAAAGTTCAAAGGGTGTCCAATTTTTTTTGCTAACAGGTTTCCATACAAATTTATGGTATATCTTCTAACTAAAATTTCAAATTTAGGGGTGTCCACAGACACCCTTTATATATAAAGGTAGTTTCGCCTTTAGTTGGGATATAGTATGCAATATTCTGCTCTTTATCTTCTCCTATCGTATTATGCGTTATGATACATGCATGCATGATATATCGTAGAGTTTTTAAGTCCAATGGTTGTGCCGCATGTTCAACTATGTGCCACATAGACTTTAGAACTCCAAAAGCACGTTTCTACATCCTTGCGTGCTCCTTCTTGTCTTCTCTTAAAGAAATTATTTCTTTCTTCAATCGAGTGTCGAAATGCCTTCATGAATGTGGAATACAGAAGATATATTCCATCCACAAGGTATTCGTTTCCATTCAATGTGAAATGGGCTTCTAGGGACTTTCCATTCAAAAGATCGTCGAATATTGGCGACTGATCAAGAATGTCGACGTCATGTTTGGAACCCGCTACCC